TGACTTTTAGACTATTTATCGCTCACAAGTATTTGAAAGATTAAATTCTAAATACTTGCTGTTTATTTTGATAATTTTACCTGTGAACTCCTACTTTGCTTCAGCTATGCAAGTTCTTCAAAGCTAAAATACATTTTTGTACACAAGACACAACTTATTTTTGTTCCATATCCATGGATAAATATTTTGACTGAGTTGTGAATAAAGCATTATTATTTTTATTATTATTATTATCATTATTATTATTATCATTATTATTATTAATACTTTAGTAGTATGGAACTTCTCTTTCAGGATGTCCACCTCCACTAAGGGTACACAATTTCTAGTGTTGAGGGTGTCCCAAGTGGTCTTAGTTTTCATTGTAATACGCCAAAAGATGTCGAAGCCTTGTTCAGACTGTGTGTATGGAGATACATTCGAGTTGTTCATGTGGTTGTGGGTTTCTCTTCACAGCTTTGGCAAGGTTACGGAGGAAACATTTATTTTAATGCCGTCCGTTGTCAATCAATGCGGATCAACAGTGCCAAGTATGGAAAACTGAAAAAGGACTTTACAAAAAGATGGAAATCTAAATCTTGCACCCCATTGAACAGAAAAGATGGTTATCAGACACAACCAGTAAGTTCAGCCAAATCAGATATGGACATAGCAATACCCTCCAGAAGGGTAAAGAGAGAAATAAGCAACCTTTCTCTGAGTAATTATCTGAAGGCTGTACCCACACGAAGTTCACAGGAACAGGATAATCTGACATCTCCCAGATCAAATCTGATGCCAAAGATTAGCTACACTAAACGATCGCGAGCCTTGCCGACATTTTACATGGTGAACAATTCCTTGCATCAAGTAAATCACACTGGATTCAATTCACCGCGGGCGAATACCTCCCAGGTATATGGTGGATATTTTCCGACAACAGGCCGAAATGAATCGAAAGTGTTTTACGCAGAGATCAGCACCAGTTCAGAGAAGAACTCCTCGCCAAGTGGTGATGATAAAATGCAAGGATTCTTGAGAAGAACGAGAAGCACAAGCCCCAAGAAAGTTCTTTCAAACTCTCGCATTCCGTTTTTAAAGACCAATTACTTATCCAGAAAGTCACTCTCACGAAAAAGTGTCGAACGATCGCCAAGAGCTCAAAACTCACTAAAATCTGACCAGAGTTTATTGCACGTACCTGTTACAGGACACCAATTTTCGAGGTTGAGTGGAGTCAGTGATAGATCATTATTTTGCCCTCTGGTGGGGTGAAAATGAGACGGGGTCAAACGTTTGCGCATGTGTGAGCGTTGAAACGGCTGAGAGTCTCCAAAAATGGTCTTCCTACATCGTGTTCACAGGCTGTCAAAAACCAGGTCTCACTAGAATTTGAAATAGCTTAAGTTTTTTCTCCAAAAATTTTATTTCCCTATAAAGATTTCTTAACAGTGAATGGTTTGGAGACTTCTGCGAAATTTTAGCTTTCGTGAATTTTGTGGGGCACCGGTTGGTTTTATGGAGGTCTTCGTATAGAATTTGCGCGGGAAATTGGTGCGCTCCTGGCACTGATTTTTTGGGCATGCCCACCGTTTGACCGCTGCCTCGACAGTAGACCTAGACGGGCTGTAATCAGGCAATCAGTGGCAATATGCAGGTTTGGAAAGAGTTTTCAAGGCTGTGTTTACGCTTGCAAGTTTTCCTCGGCAATTGCTGTTATCGGATTCCTCAGGTTTTCAACAAAAACTGAGATTCGCCGAGAGAAAAAGTTAGAAATTTGTTAGTGACGTGAACGATATGAAGATGACGTGACATGACTTGAAGATAACGTGACTTGATAAAGACGTGACGTGAAGACGACACTGAAAAATCTGTAGTAGTTTTAAGTGGAATTCTACTCTAACAAATGTTCCTGAACCAGTGTCTTATCGAGACAGTTGAATAGACCATGTATTAGCGTGACTGTTTAGATCTTTTATATCCAGTACTTCCATTAAGATCAGAATTTAAAGAGTAAATAATATAAATAATAGCTTAATATGATCGATGAAACCCCATAGGGGCTTATGAAATGATTTAGTGTTAATATATGTGTTCCCATACTTTTGATACGAGCATGAACGGTGTACCAAGAATTGTGGAAGAGTGGTACGATGATGAATAACGTGACTTACCTACCCATTTAATATCAAGGGGCACTTTAATTACACGAAAGATGTGTTTGTTGTTAATTGTGGTTGTATTGCTATGTGAATGTTCAAATATCATGATCAATAACAGGTGGCAGTATTTCGCCTTCTCTTCTTTCCGAAGACCAACAGTGTAGCAGTCGAAACGTCGCCATTTCCAATCGATATTGCCTGTAGGTTGCGAAACAAACGACCCATTACCCATCTATTTTATTATTCTTCAACATTGTTGTGGGCGTGTCTGCGCCTTTACCCTTACGGTAACTAAATTTAAGTGCTTAAACATTTACAATGAGTGCCGTAAAAAATTCGGGCACTTGTGATTCGTTCCACGTCATGAACAGTTTTTAATAATGCAGAACTTAAATGTTTCCCTTGTATTTTCAATTTAGTGGCTGCTCTAATAACATTTTGAAATAGAGAAAGAAAGAAATGCGTAGCTGGCATGCCCATCATCATCCGCTTCCTCCTATATATCATGTCTTAACAAAATTCCCGGCCATAGACTACACTTAGCACGTTGAAAAGTACACTTTATTGAAATAAGCTTACTTAAATATCCGTTTGGACATAGCAATACTTATTGCGAGGTTGCAAAGGAGTAT